ATTCAAAGATAAGAAAGACAAAGTATTATTCATATCACCAGTTGCCATTCCTAGGATCTACCTCCTCTCCCCCAGAGAATAAGCAACTCATTCATCCATTTATCAATGAGTCACCAAAATGTAAATGACCCACCTGAGGCAGGTAGGTAAAAAGAAGAACTAGAGCTGATTCCTTGAGTCCAGAGCCAGAAAGCTTTCTTGGAGGAAGGGATCCAAAAGGAGGGATTTGGTTCAACTCCAGAGTTGTTGCAGGAGCCATAAACCAAAGGTAATGACATAGATGGAGACTCCCCACCACTTTTTTTATAGCCCCAACTGTCTCTCTATTGGATACATCAAATCCTTATCCCCACATTGGACTGGGTGGGAAAGTAGGCACTTTTGAGAGGAGCAGATGATTTGCTGCAGAGGCTCAGTCCTCCCAATTAGGTTTGAAGAGAGAAGACCCAAAGAAAGAGGGCATGGTGGCAGCTTAAGAGAGAAGGAGGTGGGACAAAGAAGCCACTCATCCAGAGAAATCCTCAACTGTGATCCCACCAAGCCCCAAGGAGTGTGTGCTGAATTAAGTCCCGGAAAACACTGAAAAACATTATCAATTTGAACTTTTCCTGCTGTGGGCACAGAAAGGAGTGGCGAAGAAGCTAGCAACCTTATCTTACCAAATTCATTTTCTCACCAGCAAAATGAGATTGATAATCATCATAGAAGTCCATTTTTTGTTACTATAACTTAATATCTGAAGCTGGTACAGTTGATAAAGAAAACAKGTTTACTTAGCTCACAGTTCTGGAGGCTCAAGGACCATAGTACAAGCATCAGCTCAGCTCTGGTAAAGGTCTCATGGAAAATGATACCGAAATAGTGAGAACATATGGGGGGACAGAGATGACATCAGCAAACAGGAAACCAAAGAGTGATTCAAATCAGGCTGGCTCTTCCACATGTTCTTAGGAAAACTAACAGGATTCCAAAGGACCACCTTAATCTTCCCCAAGGTGCACCTTTAATGACCTGAGGACCTCCCACCTCCATCACATGAACTCTAGGGGGACAAACCACATCCAAAGCATAACACTCATAAAACCTACCTCAATGAATCAATATGGTAACTAATAATCACACAGCAAGCACTCAAAATGTCTAAAATTATATACTATCATTAAACATGATAAGAAGATAAACATTTTCCAACTTTAATTTTACAGTTTACCTGCTTCAACACATTAATGCCCCAGCCACCTGTCCACCCTCCAATCTCATCTCAGTGACCTGCATTAGTAATGCACCAGTCATGTCCTCTGGGCCACYGGGCAGGCAGGGCAATTCCCACTACACACTTCCATTCCTCTACCCTCCCATGCCCTCACATTCTCTGCCTCATAGGCACCTTCACGTCAATGGGTTTCTACCCAGGTCCTAGCTTACTGCACCACGATTTTACCTTCCGCTTCCTCACCTCTGGCAAGTTTCTTCGAGAAAGTTTCTTCCACCAAAGCGTAGCATTCCAAAACTATATTCCAGGAAAAGTCCCCACCCACCAATGCACATACCTGAATGAGGGCCTAATTATACCCTGGGTCAAAGTCTCAAGTTCATTCATCCAGCAATGTTACTGGATCCAGCAAGTGTTACTATGCCTCCTACATTACCATCAAATACTTAATCCCACATCCATAGTTCCAGAGGCCCTGTCTAGCCTTATTCTGTGAATCACAAGCCTTTAGAGAATCAGCTAATGGCTCCTACAGCCTATGAGATAAATGTAAACATTTCTTTTTAGCAAAAATTAAGAGTCCTCCCTTTTCTCCGTTTCCCACAGCTCTTCATGCTGGCCATTAAAACATAGCCTAGAAAATCAACCATGCTACCTTTGCCTGGCAGGAATCTCACCTGCCATTCTTCCACTTTGACAGTTCCCACTGAGTCCTAGAGATTTGGTTCAGACAGTTCCCCCTCTATGAAGGCTTCCCTGAGTTTGGTTCAGAGCAGCCAAAACATACTGACAGCACCTGATATACTGAGATCCCCCACTCCACCACATACGCCCTCCCCCTATGCTCCTCAAGGTCAAGGACCATGCCCTCCTCATCTCTATACCCAGGGCCTACCCAGTTCTGGTATACAGTAAGCAAAGTCAGGAAGTGTGTGCTCTGTGCACTGCTCTTCTTTCTAGGTAAAATCTGTGCATCTCCAGCCTTCRTTCTTACCATGTTACCTACCAGTTTCCGTTTCACTGTCCTTGTTCTATTTAATACAGCAGATCTCTGGGTGAAGAGGGCTTCCCAACCCTTATAAGTTATACATTGTCCTTGGCCAAAACCCCCTCAACATTCCAGCACCCTGAGCCTTCATTCTGAAATCAAATCTAATCACATTCTTTCCCTGTTCCCAATTAACCCATGTTAATTACGCAGCAGAATGAAGCCACATAYTACCAACAAGAATCACAAGTTTGAGATCGCAATTTTGAGCACATTCCTAATTGGCTAGGTAACCCTGGAGAAGAGTTAAAATGGAGGTGGCTGTGTCACCAGGCTTAATTCTCAGAGAATCTTGGAGATTCAAATGGAATAGATGATGTTAAAGTGTTTTGTAAAGTGCAAAGTAATATACATCCATAAAGGACATGATTAACAAATTTTATCAAATTTCAATCATTGACTGTAAGATGTGTCATTATCAACCTAAAGTGAAAAAAAAAAACCTGTTGAACTATGACACATCCGTGATTATAAGACAACCAGATTTAGTGATATTAAAATGTTGAAAAAGTGTCTTAGAATTAATTTAACACAATTTATCTTAATAAAAACAGGATCCTRCTATTGTCAGTGGCACATAATAGGTACTCAGTAACATGTCAATTAAATGAACAAACACCCAATGATAATATTCTTAACCAAATTATCACCTCTCACTGAAACTGGGCAGCAGGAGGCTTCCCAATGTGAGAAATCCCCTCTCATTCATGTTCCAGCCTGCTGGAAACCCTCAAATGATGGCTTCGTGTCATATCCAAACTCAATAGCTTGGCATTTTTAAAGTCCTTCATAATCAAGTCTCCTCTCCCACCCATCATTTCCTGAAATTGTCTCCCTCTCTTGGAGGCATCACCTCTCCACCAGAATGTGACTTCAAGAGGGATCCCACTCATTCCCACCATAACAATCAGCTCAGAGGCTCAGCTTCTCCTTCCTCCCTATCGCCAAGGCCAAGGCTAAGCCTATGCTATTTACAGGGTGCCTGACCCTGAGGGACTGTCTGACCCAGAGGCCCCAAATTTGTACCCCTACCATTTCAATAGCTACTCCTGACTACAGACTCTACATTCTAAACTTGAGCCCTGGGGTTAAGGGCTGCCTTGCAAGCATCAGAAGCAAGATACATAATCTCCTCTTTAACTGGCCCTGGTGCTGGCAGAAGTTCTGCAAGGAGGAGGATCTTGATGGAATAGAGAGAACTCTACTGGGTGTTCTGTAYCCCCACCGCGGTCCACCTTTACTCTGCTCTAGGGCTGACACTCAACTCTACATGTTTCCCTACCTGTAAGAGTGAGGCAAAGTGAGAATGGGAGAGAAGGTTAGCTCTTTCTAAAGACACCCCCATCCACTTCCCTTCCTTCCTCTAGAGATTTTCTTAAAATGCACACGTGCAGGAAGAGGAAAAGCAGTAAGTCACTAACACATTTGTGACAATTCATTTTATTGGAGAGGCAAGACATCCAGAAAAGGGGATGGGGGATCAAAAGAATAAGGTGATTGAAACAATGTTAAGTGAGTTTGGCTGAGGAAAGTAGCTCAGAGATAACCCTGAGTTCTTGCTAATCCTTTCCTGTTGGAGGGAAAGTGGTGGAACCCTCCTAAGGAAAGGAAAGTAGAGTTTTCTTGGGACCCTGAATCCCAAAGACTCCACTCTGCCCAAGAATCCAGGTACCATTCCACGGACGAGTTCATCTCAGGTCATACCTGTCCCTATTCCAAACTTTATGCCCCCATTTACAGTTCATCTTTATTTCCCACCCTTTATTCAGTCTTCTCTGATCTGCACTTGCCTCGTTGAAATGCCCTTCCTCCATGGCTGATTGACTTCAGAAAATTCCCCATCCTTCAAAAGCAACAATCAAGCACAGCCCCTTCCAAAGGCCATTTCCTTAAAACTCTTATCCTTATATTTCCCCTCAGCACTTAACATTTCCTATTGGGTCAGGTTTGGCTTCTCCACTCAGTTGAGTGCTCCCTGAGGGTAAGATCTGKGCCCAACACACCAGCAAAGTGCCTGACACACAGTGGGGACTCTAGAAATGCTTACAGAACGGGAAGTAGGAGTCCTGAGCCACCTACTTTATTTATGGCTCGATCTCTAAAGAATGACTTCGGGGAAGACCCTCCAGTCTTGGCCTCGATTGCTCTAACTCTGAAATGGGAGGACTTGAATGACTGGGTCTCTAGGCCCTTTCCACTGTGACAACTGAGATTCCGCGAAAGCTCTAAGCGGCTAGGCGTGGCCCCGCCCCCYGGGCGCCCAGAAAGCCCGGGCAGGGGGCGCGCAAAGACTCCAACCCCGCCCAACCCCCGATCGAGGCTTCCCCAAAAACTCTGGGTCCCCCTCCCCCACGGCGTGCACCCGGTGATTGGGCCGCGGTCGGCACTTCCGCACCGCGGGCCTGGCGGCCGGGGAAGGGCGCTCTGCACCCCKCGCTCCTGCCACCCTAGAGGCGCTCTCGCCCGGAGCGGGCTGGGGGTTCTTGAAGCGCCCGCGGGCGGAGGGTGAGGGGRAAGGAAGGAGGATTTGCAACAATACCTCAGGGAGGAGGCAGACGGGGCAGCGGCAGCAGCGGCGGCTGGAGGCGGAGGCAGAGGCGGAGGAGGAGGTGCMCGGGCACTCCCCCTCCCATTGTCCCCAGCCCCGGACAGGCCCGGCCCCACGCCCCGCACCGGTCCGGGCGAGCGCGCCGCCCGCGCCCAGCGCCCCGCGTCCCGGGTCGTGCAGCCAGCCCTTACCTTGCAGCGCTCGGCTCTCCCCGATCGCTAAGCTACTTATCCCGGGAAAGCTCGCGCGGGGCCCGGGAGCGAACCCACAGACAAAAAGTGAAACTTCGGCAGGGCTGGAGCGGCTGCTGGTTGGTGCCTTTCCCCCTCCTTCCTCCCCACCGTCCCCACCCCCTCCCCTCGGTCTCCCGTGCGGTGCCCTGAGCGCTGGAGGCTGACGTCAGGGGCCTGAATTCCTGACTTTGCCTGCACGCATTTGTCCATGTAAGGTATGGGAAGGCGTGTGCCCGCGGGCCGCAGCGCAGCGCTCGCCCGGCGGGGGAGGGGTCGCACGCAGTGGGCAGTGACTTTGCCAAAAGGTGGGCGCACAGAGGGCATTGCATTTCCTGGGAGGAAAAGGAGGAGACGTGGGAATGTAGGGAACTTGCAAAGGAGGAAGGGAAAGAGGGAGGTGTGGAGGCTTGCCTCCACTGGAGGAAGAGGAAGGAGACGTAGGAGGAAGCGGCCGAGTTGAGGGGCTGCTAGAGAAGTGGGGCAACTTGAGTCTCCTATGTCGGTGCCAAATTAGGGGACTGAGCTTGAGCTAAAGTATTCCCTTCCACAGACCTCCTCCTGAGCCCCACCCCGGATTCCCAGCAAGACTCAAAATTTACAGGATATTCAAACTGGCAGAGACAAAACTTTCAACCCATTCACTTCACCCGTGAGAATGCTGAAACTTGAAGAAAAGAAATGATTTGCACAGAGCCTACGCTCAACAGATCCAGGAGCGGGACCCGAGTCCCTGTCTCCCCTCAGGATTGATTCCAGCCCGCAGGCAGGGTCCTGACTGCCTCCTAACCCCTGAGCTGAGAACCAGGTTAGATATCAGACTAGGCAGGAGGACCACCCAGTGAAGTGACTTTGTATTTCCCTTCCAGAGCTAGTTCTGGGAAGGTTCTGGTTGACAGTGAGCCCTGAGGAACAGAGACATTCAGTTGCTTCAGGGTAACTTCCCCTGTACTGTGCTGAAAGAGGTGAACCCCAGGAGTTAAAACAACTACAGCTTGCTCTGTACTTACAGCTTCGAAAAAAAGTATGCGAACTGGGTGGACTGGTTTGAATAAAGACAAGCCTCTTCTTGGAAGGTTCAAGTCGGATTTTTTTTTCTCTGACGTTTGAAAATGTGAACAAAGGTGAGAACTACCATTTACTGTATCCAGGGGTTATTTCCTGGAAAGCACTCCAAACCTGTGACTTCCTTTCTTTGTGTTTCTATCCTATTCATATCTAAATGAATAATCCCTCACTGCAATATATCATAAAAACACTCTTTCATCTGAATTATTACATCTTCAAGTGAGTTGGATAGGATTAATTGTAGTCCATCTTCTACCTTTAAGGCAAAAACTCAGGTAAAGGATTTGCCAAGCACAAAATAACTAAGCAAGACCTGAACTCAACTGCCCCCCCCATCATACAGGTCACCTGATCTGTGCTCTTTCCATGCCATCTTCCTGGCCTTTACCTCCAGCAGGACCTGATTCCACTCATACATGATGAGAGTACACTTTGAGTTAATAATGCACAAAAACTCCTAAACATGGTTTTTTTGAGGTTAGGTTTTGATGGAATTCTTTTAACCAAGAATTAAGGAAATAAATGTAAAAACCATAGGCTGTTGGACTCATTTATTGAGCATTTCTTTTGTGAAGTCTTTGAATTCAGATATTTCTGGGTTTAAATTATTTAACCTCTTTGTTCCTCTTAATTTTCTCATCTATACATACAAAAATGTGAATCTGGAAGCAGAGAAAGATGACTGAGAATACCCACCCAGAGCCTCTCACTCCTGAGATGGCCCACATCCTCACTTGAATGGGTATTTCCTGCTTTATCCCCAAAGGGTCTCTCTTGAGATTGCCCTATTTCTTCCTTAAATGAGTATCTACTTTCCTAAATAAACCTCTTTCTATGGCAGGAGGCTGGGAGTAGAGATACCCACCCCTTCCACATGATAATGAACTATTTTTCTTTTTACTTCTAACACGATTTTTAAAAATGGGAAAGATGAGCTCTTAAAGAGATTTTGTTCTGAGATTTTAAAAATACCAAATCCTATCACAACACAATTCACTTATTCTATCAAACATTTCAGCAAACCCACATCCTGAGTACTACTATTTAGTATGAAAAAAATCCCAGTATCACAGGAGGTAAGAATGGATTCACCCAATTCTCATCAGCTATAACGGGACTTGACCTGCATTTCCCCATCCACCCACCCCTCTTTCTCCCACTTATAAAGAATAATAGAGTTCTAATGAGGATTAATAAAATTTAATAAGGTATAATTAGTCATTCATTTCCTCTATCATGCACATTATAAGAGTGCTGTTTTGGACCCAGAAATGCTACTAATTATGTTGAAACTGTTGCATGGGTGTGTTGGGGAACATCACTGTGTTTCTCCTCCTGAAATATTTATGAATTTCTTAGGTAGGCATGGTGTTAGCATGAGCATTACATAATGTTAGTCACAAAAGATAATTTCCATTTATGAGGCCTTCACAGGCGTATAAGTGACAACATCATCAGTTGGATGCTTGGTGAACCGCATGTAGTACTAACCCAAACCAACGTCTCATTCTTGTTTGCTATTCTGGTTTCTTTTGCACTGTCACTTTTTTTCAACATCCTATTAACACTTGCTGTATGCAGGGGTTTGGACCAGAAGGGAAGACTGTAAATTTTCAGACTCAGTACTCTCTAGTACTGCTGGTTTATCTGTTCAGAGAATAAAAAATGCACCGTCTCAAGTGGGGTGGGGTCCCATGGTCCAAGGATGAAACACTGCTCTTTTCAAGACCAAAAGTAGCAATCTCATTAGTGTGTTGATGGCACAAAAGATTTTTAGGCAGGCTGGGCTGTGTTTCTACCATTCTGTTGTAGCTACTAACAATTCTGCACACAAGGATCTTTGTGCAGTTCATGCAGTTACAGGGCTGGGGACCTGCCAGCCTGATCCAGGGCAGCCACTGTAGACCTGAGGTACTGGTTCTTGTGAATCCACCCAAAAGAATTTGAGGGAAACACAGTAGTAAGTGAAAAGTTTAAGAGAGTGAAAGGAAAGAGTAACGTATAGCATAGGAAGTGCAAGGACCCCCTGGAAGAGAGGATGGTATGGTGCTCATAGAGTTGAAGTTTTTAAGGAAATGAAGTCCCCTGTTCTTGCCTCGATTTTCCTGAACCCTTGATTGTTTCTTATCCTTTGGCTACCTATCAGTAAACTTCCTTTTTGAGGATCWCAATGTTCTGGTTGATAGAGTTATTTGGTGGCTGTGGCATAGTTGTGGTGATAAGGGAGGGTTCTGGTGTCTTAGTTGCAAGAGATAATGAGGATCTGGTCTGAAAACAGTAGTGTCCCTTGAGGGGTTATGACCAACTAGAGCTGGGGGAGGTCTTGACATACCAGACCTCACTTTTCTGATGCTCATCTGTTTCAGATAGGGGTCCCCAGGATTTTAGGTAACTGTTCCCTCAAGGGATTATAAATTTATCTACAGATTGGGGAGGATTGGACGTTCTAGCTCTCATTCCCAAATGCTTGCCAGTTTAGATAAGATTCTCTACTGTTTCAGTTTTATAACTCCTGGATTTTTCTTGGTGCGTAAGCCTAATGTCTGTCGTCTGTCCTAACCTACCTAATAATGTAGTTCCTCTTTTTTTTTTTTTTGGAGTGCATATAATATGCCAGGCTATTCTAGGAATTTTTCATATGCAATTCACTTCATAAATTGGCATTATTTATCCATTAAATCCATGATGAAACTAAAGCCTGGGGAGGCTAAGTAACTTACTGTTAATACAAAGCTAATACTTGGGTAAGCTGGGGGTCCACCCTGAGCCCAGGTAGCCTGGTTCCTCACTTACCCATTGCTCCCACATATGCTTTATCCATAATTAGACAGTAACTCCCACCCACACCAGAAGCTGAACCAGTGGGCTCCYCACCCCCCAAATTTGAACTTCCAAACCTAGGAGCTAAATAAACCTCTTCTCTTTACAGGTAGCATACGTTAGGTATTTCATTATAGTGTCAAAAAGCTGACTAATACAGTCATATTTTTCTAGGAATAACTAAGCACACAAGACAGTTTTAATATTTTATGTCCAGTTGTGTAGTCAAGTGTAGTTCTCTTTTCAAGATAATAGCACCAAGGCCATGGATGATGCTGACTCTAGCCCAGCTGGATAAGCATCAGCCCTTCAAAAAGAGGTAAAAACTTGATATGGTAAACAGCAATGGTAGGCTTTGTGTAAATGCAGCATTAAAGATAATGAAGAAGTTTACAAAAAGTTTGTTTACTCTCCATTCTTCATACCTCACAATACAATGGGGGGGGGAATAATCTCAATGTAAAAACAGAATTCATCATCAGACTTCCTAAGTAAATTTTTTCTTCCTTTATTGGTACTAGATCTTTTCTAAAGGGAAAAAAAATTATCACAACCTACTTTTATCATTGGCATAGCAGATTCAAGCCAATGTGCACAAATGATTACTTTTATCTGCCCCATGGGTTTCTGCACAGTTTTACCTAATTTCCACTGACTGGCTACAGAGATATCACTATTTACATTTTGCAAATTTTGCAGGATCAGTTATCCACATATATTTTTGCCCATTCCGACACAGCTCGTGCTTCCAGTCTGCTGACTTGTGAGTTCAAGTAAACCGAGGACCTAGAAGAAATACAACCTGGGAATTAATGAACCTTCATAGGTCACACAGTGCAGGGTGACAGTGGAGTCCAGTCTGTGGAAGCAAGGATGCTAGAAGAACTTTAATCTTACTTGTTTCATGATCACTGTGAAGACTGACAGTCCATATCACCTTTTTGTTCTCACAAGTATCTACCATGAACCTATTAACTATACTAGGCTTGTGTATAGTGTTGAGAAAATAGAAGTAGTCCTCATTTTACATGCTAACACAAAGATACATAATACCAGCTTGGGAGGGTGAGGTCTGTTGAGCTAAGTTAGCTGAGACTTCCCAATCAACTGTGGGTGGACTGAATCCACTGCTTCGGCT